ACTTTTTTTTAAAGTGCATCTTAAACTGGGCTTCTCCACACTCGATGGCCATCCTAAATCCAAACTAATTTGCCTGTCAAGTACTGTTCCTGGGACACTGTGTAGTCAGTAGATCATCTGGCACCTGTTCCTTCTCAGCTGTGTCTTTTATGTACATACCCGTGAGCTTGTCTCACGGCTGTGTGGCATGCAAGTCTCACCACCATCACCTGCCACCTGTCGTATCCTCCTCACCCAAGTCCCCTTATGAAAGCCCAGATTCTCTTCAAGGCCCACGTGAGTCCCTGGTCCACAGAGGCTTCCCAGCCACAGCCTTTGCTGTCTGGGTTTCTGAAGCAGCCACTGGACAGCCACTTAACACGCCCAGTGCGGCCTGCACCTTCCCAGGTGTCAGAGTAGGGGGCACTTGCCCTGGGATACCGTGGCAGGGCCTGGAGTGCCCAGCTCCTCTGCTTCCCAGAGCCCTCGGCGCCCTCGGGACGTAGCACCTTCTTCGATGCTCGGCTGTGCTGTGCTAAACACAGCCTGTGCAAGCGTGCAGGGACTGCGGCTGCAGATTGCTGGGGGTGGAGGTGGAGGAGGGGATGCGAGTGGATGAAAAGGTCTGATTATAAATCTCTAAATCAGCCAAATGTTTTGTCTAATTATAGTCTTTTCCTTTCTGGTTGCTGGTACAATAATCTCCCTGAACACGCTTGGTGATTTTTCTCTATATCAATTGTACCTTCTTTGGTCATAATATATTATCACTCAGCCAAAATCCTCCTTGGAAGTAGCTGGAGAATAAATAATTTCTGTGAAAATCTTAGTGACAGAACCAGACACAGTATTCCTCATTTTTACCCTTTCCCTCCTCCTCATATACTGGCTTTTGTTTGAATTAAAACATTTTCAGTGAAATCTATGGAGATTTATCAGTAGCCTTAACAATTTATCTCCAGAATTCACCTTTGAGTCTTTATAATCCCCTTTTACACTTTAAAGTCTGTACTGTACGTAAACTTTTCAGGAAAAGGAAACTTTTGTGGTTCGGTAGCCAAAATAATAAACTGAGCCTTACACTTGATTACAGGCCTGGCCCATTTGGAGCCTTTCTGTCTGTGTTAGTGTTCTGTTATTGAAACAAATACCAAGATGAAAGAGGAAAGTCTTCTTTGGTTTTTGGAGGCTGGCAGGACCCATGGATCCTCTGTGGTTAGGCCTCAGGCGGGAGGCAGGCATCTGGTGCTCAGTGCTTAGCCTGTTCACTATGTGGCCAGGTCTTGAAACAGGATGAAATGGGGTCCTACCATCTCCTCCAAGGAAGCACCCCACTAATCTAAAACCTCTCTAAAGCACCCCACTAATCTAAAACCTCTCTAAAATCTCCATCACCCTAGAGCACATAGGCTAGGATCAAGCCCCCAAGACATAGGTGACACTCCGGGCACCCTCCCTCCTTCCCAGCATCTCTTTCTTTCAGGGCCCCATCGCCTGGCTGAGCTCCCCTTGCCCTCCACAAGCCCCACTCCTTGAACCTTCAGTCTCCCTCCTCCAGCTACGTGTGCTCTGGTGATGATCGAATGTCTCCTGCAAACACTCTTGGCCCCAGCGCCCTGAAAACAACTGTTTTTTTTGTTTGTTTGTTTGTTTTTTGTCTTTTTCATTTTTATCGGTACCGGGGATCAAACTCATGACTGCCTGCTTGCAAGGCAGGTGCTTATGCCACTGAGCTAAATCCCCAGCCCCTGAAAACAACTGTTGTTCTCCTTTTGCAGCGAAGTATGGTACCAAACTGACGACCTCACACTTGCCAGGCAGGCACTTGTGTCACTAAAATCCCCAGCCCAAGCCAAGTGGGGGGGGGGGGGGACACTGCTTTTCCTTGGTTCCTAACAAGTGGTTCCATACTGATCTGTTGAGTGTCTCTGTATTCCACAGCCCCTGGGGACATCCCTCCAGTCCCAAGGCTCTCTTCCTTCCCCCTCTGCATCAGACCCTACTAACTATAGTTAATAACATTGATATTTAGCTGGATCCAGAGAAAAGCAGGCACAGCATCTAAGCACATCAAAAGCCACCTAGCCCAGCCAACCACCTTCAGGGGAAGAAACAAAATTGTAAAGAAGCCAAAGTTTCTGTTCCCAAAATGTGCTCAGTGCGGCTCCTGTTCTCCTGGGGTCCTACAGCACAGTTGTACAGGCCCCGACATACTACCTGTAAGAGGCACGTCATCAGTCCCCCGGGAAACCCTCCCTCTTGCTTCAGACCCCTCTCCCATCGCCCTTGCCGCTTCCTGAGGCAGGTCTGTAAGGCTTCTTCCATGAGTGTCTAGCTGAGCACTCACCACTGCCGCAGAGTCCTGAATTGATTCAAAATGTTGGCCTTGTGGGTGTTGACGTCACTTCCTGCCACAGGAAAGATGAATGGGAGGGCCGATTTTCCAGAGACCAGTGCAGGAATTCCAAGACCATCTCCTCACCTAAGGGCCGACTGGGTTCCAGCACAGGAAGAAACGAGAATGTTCCCAGAGGTGCACGAGCCGCGGGTGCCAGGGAGAGAACAAGTCGGCGTCTCCGAGAATCAGCCATGCTGGAACTGGGGGGCCCGACCGAGGACGCCGGAGCCGGCCTTCCTGGTAAGCAGCGCTAATGAGCCCGGCTGCACCAGGAGAGGGTAAGTCTCACCAGCCTCCTGGCGGGGCCTGGGCTGAGAATCCAAGGTCCCCACACGCACCTTAACCTGGATGGTGTCGAGCACAACTGAAGTTGGTAGCACTAAGGCACATAAAGCAACTAAATGCTAGTACTGTTGGGTTGATTATGCTGACCTGGGACCAGAGGTCTGAGCGTCTCTTGGGAGGATGACCTTATGCAATATAGCAAATACGGGGATTTCCTTCTATCCTGTCTTTGAAGACCAATATTGTTTTCACTGTTTTTCTTTGTTCTGATTGTTTTACTCTCTTCAGTATTCTGTTTTGATTGATTTTGTGCTGTTCTGTTTTCGGTTTGATTTTGCTACCCCTGATGGAATGGACAACTATTGTGAAGATAACAAGATATACTATGGTAGCTATTATTGTTTTCCCGGTATCCTCTTCTCAAGTTCTGTACCAATTTTGCTGCATTGTGTTGATTGGCTCTGTTCTGTCTTGTTTTGTTGAATTTAACTATCTTTACAATAAAAAAAAAAAAATGTTCCCAGAATGCAACAATGAATGCTTCTGGTCCAGGTCTGTGCTTTTGTGCACGACACATATGTTGATTACTCAAGGACTAATTACCAGTAGTACGTAAAGGAATCATTTCAAGTCACCCAGATTTGGTTCCATTGGTTCCATCCCTAAATTTATGTTTTCTTGTATCATGGGATACTTTGGGAAAACGTATTCAAGAATCTCAAAAATTCCTCTCTTGGAGAAGCTTTACAATTGAGATACTCTTCACCACCCAGACAACATTCTCAAAAGTCAAAATATGACTCAAATGTGAGAGATCAGTCCTCTTTGGTGACATCCTCAGCAGCAAATAGCATAGAAAAGGAAATACTTCTTCCTCATGAGCCAATTTCATTCTACACTTTTCATCGGTATCACAGATCATATGGCCCAAGGTAGAAACTTCTCTTGAAATGAATTTCAACATTTCATGATCCAGTGTTTGTATAACCTTATGATCTTTTCTGCTGGATATTCCTGGTATCTTCTTCTCCTCTCTTCCCCGCCCTCCTCCTCCTCCTTCTTCTTTGAGACAGGTTCTCATTATGCAGTTCAGGCTGGACTTGAGCTCACTCTGTAGCCCAGGCTGGTCTCGAACTTGCAGTAATCCTCCTGCCTCAGCCTCCTGAGTGCTGGGATTACAGGTGAGCACCACCACACCTGGCATCACCTGTATCTTCTACCACCAGCTATCAACCTAAATTCATCCATCAACCTGACTTGGTATGTTTGTTCCTTTCATTCGCTTGATTCTTTGTTCATTCAACATTCCCCTAGGACAGTAGGTGTCAGATAGATGGGGAAGAAATAAAGATGAGTAAGACTTGCTTCTTGTCTGTAAGAAACTGTCTGATAGAAGATATGGAAATATACACATAAATTACCGATAGGTCCCAGTAATTGAAAATATTCACACAAGTTTAATGGACTATGAAGTGACACATCACAGTTCCAGAAGTAGAGGCTTCAAAAAGACTTAAGTTTATATCTGACAAGCTGGTCTTAAAGGTGTTCGGCTTTCTGGTCCACAATATAAGAAGAAACATTCCCTGCCCTACAGAACTGTTGTCAAACAAATATGAAGATCCTTGAGATGAGTGAAAAATCCTATCACTCAACACATAGAAGGAGTTTCAATCTCCAGCTTCACTTAGGTGATCATGAAATACCTGCAGGCTTTGCACTTAGCAGCAGTCTGTGTAAACACTTTAAAACTAAATTCTAGGGTTTTATGGTTTGACTGTGATGTTTACATAAAAATTGAGTTTAGTGTTAGTATCATGAAAATGTACTCACTTTCAGAACTCTGCACGGTGGTATTGTAGCATGTTTGTGTACAGTCTGTAAAATCAATTTAAATTACAAAGCAAAAATACTCTCCTAACGCTATTAAGAAACCGAAATGTTCTAGAATCAGCTTAGATGAGGATAAATGACGTCTGAATTAGGGCAGCTCGAGCAGCAAGCAGCATTTTAAGTGTTCCGCTTTGCATTATTATGAAAAGCCTTTCTCTAGTACTTGCTGTATTATCTTAATGTTCATGGTAAATAAGATAAAAAGAAGAATGAAAAAAGAGTTGACCTCTCATGGTCACTTTGAGGAAGAGGCAGGAGTCACAGCCCCAGGAAATAGGGTGGAGGAGGACACGACCTGTCCACTAGATGGCAATCGCAGCGGCAGTCACTGTATTTTTTAATCATAAAGACCAGGAAAAATGAATTCCAGAACTGCTTCAGAAAGTTACAAGAAGTCAGGGGTGCATTGCAAAGGGGGTCAATACCAATCGGTGTTTTACCATAATACATTTTTAAAATTTAAACATTCACTGTGTATGTTGACCACACTTGTTTTATGCATCTTTGGGCAGATTAGAAACAGATGCCTCCTCTTGCCAATGGACCCAGCTGGGGTGAACGGGAGGGGAAGGCAGATGCCTGGCAGCGTCATCACCTGCCTTTCACATAAGGGGAAACCGAAGCCCAGGGAGGAAGGCAGCTTGCTCAGGATTTCACAGTGAGACAGGGATGGCACAGCGCAGAGCTCAGGCCTCCTGCAGCCAGGCCTGTCTTCCCGGTGCTGATGGCCCCATGCGATGAGTGGGAGACGGAGGGCTTCCTTCCCAGGCACAACCTGGCGCAGACTCGGCCCACAGGGGCCCTCGCTCTCGGAATCCTCCTTACGCGGGTCCTTTTCCAAGTCAAAGCAAGAGGTGCAGCTCCGCCAGACCGACTCCCAGGCTCCCAGTCCGCTGCTCAGTGCAGCAGAGGCCGGCGGCGTGGCCGAAGGACCTGCGCGAGGACCCCGGGCTGGAGTCCAGCAGGGGGCGCTGCAGAGTGGGCTGGGGGAGGGGCGGCGGGGGCGGAACGCCCGGGCATAAGTAGCCGCGGTCAGGTGCGGACCGGAGTTATTCCTGCCGCGGGCTCGCCGGGACCGGGCCGACCCCCGCGACGCCTGCAACCCCGCCTTCTGCATTCGCTATGCGGGGCGCCCGCGCAGCTCCGTGGCTGCTGCTGTGCCTGTGCGCCGGTGAGGCTGGCGGAGGTGGGGGGTCCTGAGCCGGCAGGTATGAGGACGGCGGGGGGGTGACCCTGACCCCGACGTCTGGAGGGCTTCCTGGAGGAGGCCGTCTGAGCCGGGCCTTGGAGCAGGGGCGCTGGTAGTGGCGGCGGGGTGGGGAGCGCTTTGAGATGTTGGGGATCCCGGATGGAGCTGCTCCTGAAGGCTGGAAACCCAGAGCAGGTCTATTCCCTGGCCTGAGACTCGTCCCAAAGATGGAGGCAGGGGACACAGGCGGTCAGAGCACAAGGCTGTGGGGCAGCACCCATAGATGTCCCAAGGGTCGGTGAGGGCAAAGGCCCCAAAGGACAAGAAGGAGCCACTACTGGGCCTTGGGAAAAGCAATGCTCCTCAGCCTCCGCGGGGGAAGAGTGTGGAAGGTGCATGGGAGGCGACTGGCTCTTGGGGACGCCAGGGGCTCAGTACCCAAGCGCACACCCAGCCCTGAAGGTGTGGCTTCTCACGCTCGTTCTCAAAAACATACACAGAGAGGTCACCTGCTAGTCACCTACTTCAGGGACAGGAACTTGACCCCACCATCCTCCCCTATGTGCCCTGGGAACCTGGCCCTGTGCCCACTGAGGCAAGAGGTCCTACAACAGATCCATCACAGGCACTGGGCTACCTCCATCCCATGTCCCAGCTCGTGAGGAGGTCCCGGACCACTGCAAAGGAGGATCCCAGGCCCTGTTTTTGTTGCTCTGCAGAGGGGCAGGAGCTCTCCAGCCAAGGGCTCCATACTCCCTCCAGGGTCCACCCCAGGCAGGGGAAACCTGTGGGTGATGCTAGGAGCCCCTCTGCTCCTCTGTGATGGCTAGTGGTGGACAGGTTCTGAGCTAGCACCCAATGGCTACGTCTCTGGGAGGAGGCACAGCTTTGCCCAGTCTTGGCACCTGCCTTGGGGCAGGCTGTGCAGGCCAATGGGGTCACACAGTGCTGCCAGAGTCACCCTCTCTGCAGCTGCCAGCTGGGCCTCACTGTCCCTGTGGTCCCCAGCACACAGTGGGGAGCAGGTGACGGAGGTGCGGTGGTGCACCATCTCCGATGCGGAGCAGCTGAAGTGCCAGGACATGAGCAAGGCCTTCCGGGAAGCGGGCATCCAGCCCTTCATCGCCTGTGTCCAGGGCACCTCAGCCGGCCACTGCATGCAGCTCATCTCGGTGAGGCCTCTCCCTTCCCCAGCTGCCCGCCCCCCGCCCAGCCCAGAGGGTTCTGGGTGAGGAGTAGCGCCCCACTCAACGACAGCTAGGGACGGTTTGCAGGAGGCAGTAATTCACTGTGCAGGAGCCACCAGCGGGAGGCTCCAGGGCTGCTGAGCGCAGGTGGGGGCGCAGGTGTATCCCTGGTTCTGCCCGTCTCCGAGGTCGGGCGGGACAGCAAAGAACAGGTGACAGGGCCGGCACTATGAGACCCAAGTCCTCCTGACAGCAGGGCCCCAAGGTGCCCAGGACCTAACCTGACCCCCGGCCAGGACAGAAACCAACTGTGCACAGCTGTGATTCCACCCCTGGGCTCCAGGACACACGAGCAAGGCGCTACCATTTGTCTTTAAAATAAATAAAAAGAGAAACTTTAAAGCGGACACTTCGGAATTTGGTCTGTGCAGACTTTCCTAGAGGGAAACCCAAGAAAAACCCGGTAGCAGTCCTCGGAGGCAAGGGAAATCGGAAACCCCATTCTGTGCTAACTGATTGTCTTTTTACTCCGCACATCTGAGTCCAGTAAAAGTAATCTTTTTAAAAAAATAGCAGCAGGGGCTGGGGATTTAGCTCAGCGGCATAAGCACCTGCCTTACAAGCAGGCGGTCGTGAGTTCGATCCCCGGTACCAATTAAAAAAAAAAAAAAATAGCAAAATTTGCATCCAGGTGAGTTCTTGGCCTGCTAATGGGGAAGAGTCCTGGCCCTTGAGGCCTAGGCCAGGTGACACATGATGTAGACCCCAGGGCAAGGGAAGGCCCTGCGCTCTCTGGTGGTGTCACCGACTTCCCTGATGCAGGAACTGGGGCCTCAGGCTGGGCTGACAGCGCATGTCTTCCAGGCCCAGAAGGCTGACGCTGTCACTCTGGATGGAGAAGCCATCTATGAGGCGGGGAAGGAGCACGGCCTGAAGCCTGTGGCGGGCGAGCTGTACGATGGTGGTGAGAGGTGGCTGCAGGGAGCAGGGTACACCCAAAGCCCTGTCCTGGAGTCCAGGCCCGAGGGCCCTCAGAGGTCCCCCTAGGTCTCTGAAACTGCAGGGCAAGAGAGCCGGGGAGCAAGCTCCTGCCTTCCAGGGAACCTAGCATCCCCCTAACTGCACGCTGCCCACCCCTGGTGTGGTGTCCATGCCCACCCCTCTGTCAGAGACCACCGAATGCAGAGTGAGAGACAGGTGGTACCCAGGGCTGCAGAGCCAGCAGAGCAGATGTGGCACACAGGGCTGCCTTGGAGAAGCCATCACTGGCCACCAGGTGAATTAGCAATTGTCCCATGGCATGGGACGCAGTCCAGCTCTTGCTAGCCAGGCAGCCTTTAATCTCACAAGGCGGTCGACAGCCCTGTCTCATGCGCCCAGAGTATAGTTCTTCCTCTTTATCTGTTTCAGTCTCACTGCTGAGCACAGAGTAAGCAAAAGACCCTGTTTCTGCCTCAGAGAGCAGAAGTCAGCTCATGAATGAATAAGCACCCAAAACTACAGAACTAGAAAGAAAGGGGGGCTGAGCCAGCAGCGGCCCCAGAGGACCAATCCACGTAGGTTGATGGGGGCCAGCGCCAAGTGCATGAGAACAGCACTGCCCTGGGCCCGCCGTTGCCCCCAGAGTCGGGCTGCCTTACCTCCCTCCCCTCCTAGAGGTGGGGACTGCCTATTATGCTGTGGCTGTGGTCCGGAAGAACTTCTCTGTGACCATCAACACCCTGAAAGGCGTGAAGTCCTGCCACACGGGCCTCCAGCAGACGGCGGGCTGGAACGTACCGGTGGGCTTCCTGGTGGAGACAGGCCGGCTCTCAGTGATGGGCTGCGATGTGCTCACGGGTGAGGACCTCAGGCTGGCGCAGGACCACCTTCTTTCCTCTGCCTCTGCTGTCCCTTCACCTGGCGGGGGTGAGGCACGTCTCCCGCAGCCTTGCTTCCTCCTGCACCCACTAAGATGCAGCCGTGTCCCACTCCAGAGGTCTCTCTGACTCCCCTGGAGGCAGCACTTCCTCCACTCCTCGAGCCTCTAAAAGCATGGCTTGTGCTCCTTGTCACCATGTCCCATGTGACAGAGCCAGGTACAAGGCCCCATGCAAGAGTGATTTCCCCTGGCAGAGACCTGGTGCAGTGTCCTGAGCGTGTCCTCAGCTCTTGGCCTTCAGAGATCCACAGAGGCCCAAACAAGTTGCCAACTTGCATCCAGGAAGTTCGCACACAGCCAGCAAGCCTGATGGTGTAGACAAACAGGAGCCCCAAGAGGCTGTGTCACATCCAGGTGGCCTCAGTCTGGAATCACATTTGCAAAAGAGCTGTCCTGGGACCAGAGAGAAGGGCGGGGGGGCATTCCAGGTAGACGAGGAGCAAGCAGGGCTGGGCCAGCTCAGGGCAGTGGCAGCAGGGTGTCCCCCTCATCCCAGGACAAATGTGAGTGAAACGGGTATACCCAGGACCCCGGGGAACCGTGCAGGCCACGGGGGTGACCTCACACACACCAGGGCTCCTTTTCAGTGCCCTCTGCTCAGTAACAGCGCTGGCTTGGAAATGAGCCCCAGGATGAGCCCCACACCCAGGCGACCTTCGGTTGTGCCACACAATTGCTTAGGACTCCACAATGCCTTCCCTGAGCAACTCTTCTTTTTCTTGTTTTGTTTTGTTTTTGAGACAAGGTCTCATTGTATAACTCAGGCTGGTTTTAAACTCACAGCGATCCTCCAGCCTCAGCCTCCCACATGTGCGCCACCACATGAGGCTCCCTGAGCAGTTCCTAAGCAGCAGCTGACCTGCCCAGTGACTCTTTGCCATTCTCAAGGGCCCAGTTTGAGAATCACCTGATTTGGTTCCCCATCACTGCTCATGTGACCAGATTCTCAGAAGTGCCCAGCTAGTCAGGGTGATGCATGCCTGTAATCCCAATACTCAGGAGGCAGAGGCAGGAGGATCCCTGAGAATCTGAGGTCAGTCTGGAGTACATAGTGAGACTCTGTCTCAAAAAACAAACAACAGCAACAACAACAACAACAACAAAAAAAAAAACCCAGACAGGTCACTGCCAAGCCCGGGCTCCCACTGACTCGGGGGGTCTGGAGAAAGTGATGCCAAGCGATCGCTCTCTGTGTCTCTTTCCCGCAGCTGTCAGCGAGTTTTTCGGGGGCAGCTGCGTCCCTGGTGCAGGAGAAACCAATCACTCACTGTCCCTTTGCCGCGCCTGCAGGGGTGATAGCTCTGGGAAGTGGGTGTGTGACCACAGCCCCTTGGAGAGATACTACGGCTACAGCGGGGCCTTCCGGTAGGGGCGCAGCGGCTCAGAGGCCCGGGTGGCGGGGGCGGTGGGGCTTCACAGCGTCAAAGTGCTTTTGTGCAGTTCTGTGGAGGGCACCAGCTGAGTGGTGTAGTTAAAGGAGGACAATGACCAGAGAAGAAAGCAGTGCTTTGGCCACTCCCAGGTCCCCGCTCTGGTGTCGCAGCAGCGGGGCAGCGGACACTTCCGTGGCACTTAGGACAAGCCCTCTGCTGACCTAAAGAGCGCTGAGAGCTCACGGTCCACGTCCCCATGTCCACAAAGGAAGAAATGCGCACTGAAGCCTCAAGTCCCTCCTGCCACCCTGTCCTCGGCAGGGAACTCTGGGCACAGAGAAAGGAAATAGTGTCCCCCACCTTCCCTATCCATCCCCAGGCCCTTCTGTCATCTGTTCACCCCCAGCCCCATTCAGTCCCTTTTTCTCTTTTGGCTGTGGGGTCCCCAGCAGCCCCTTTGCCCAGGAGGGCGGGAGCTGTCAGCCACACCACACAGTGACACAGAGGATATGCAGGTCGTGGTCCCCCTCATGGTCGTGAATTTTTGGGTTGGACATGGGCCTTTTGATGCAATCCTTGCATCAGAATGGAATCACCTTCAAAATACCCTGGGTGTCCTGGCTATGGGTGACAGCAGAGCCTGTGAGGTCCTGTCCTTCCCAGGCCTGGTCTGTGCTGATCGTGCAGGACCAGCTACCAAAGTGTCCCTAACTTGGCAAAGCCATGGGGAGCTGGCACTGAGGCTGCAGAACTGGGGACTGGGTGCCTGGAGACCACCCCTGCATCCCAGGCCAGATCTTCCCCCGGGAGGAAGCCCGGGAGAGCAGGAGGCTGGAGGGCATCCAGCCCCAAGGCTCATGGTGTCTTCCCCACAGGTGCCTGGTGGAAGGGGCAGGCGATGTGGCCTTCGTGAGGCACAGCACGGTGCTGGAGAACACAGATGGTGAGTGGCAGATGCCGGGGTTCAGCACCATCTGAGTGCTCGGAGTACCCTGAATTCCCATCTCTGAGCACCCAGCTCATTGTGGGCGCGCTCGCACGTGTATATGTGTGTGTGTGTGTGTGTGTGTGTGTGTGTGTGTGTGTGTGTCTCCCAGTGCTGTGGAGCCCCAGGGCCAGTGAGTGGCTGGGCGTGGCTTAGATTGCATAGCTTGGTTTGTCCATTTCCACTTGAAGATCAGAGTCTGCTTTAAAAAGAAAGGTTTGCAGCCAGGTGTGCAAATGCACACCTGTAATCCCAGCATCCAGGAGGCTGAGGCAGGACGATCATCATGAGTTCAAGGCCAGCCTAGGCTCATAGTGAGTTCCAGACTAGCATGAACTATGTATGTAGTGAGACCCTGTCTCAAAAAACACAAACAAGAACATTCAAAGAATTTCCATCTATTCCCTCCCCCATAGAAAACTCATGTATATGTGATTAAAAAAAATAATAAGCTACCTAGGAACAACTTTAAAGAAACTCCAAAGAAAGAGACACCGACTTTCTTCTAAGGTTATGGTCACTCGTGCAACCTCTCTTTGCCACTTTCCCATCTGTCCTCTCCCCCAGTTCCAGCTGTCAGTCTCTGTCACACTTGAGGCAGCTCTCTTCCTGAGCGGGGCTGTTCTCTGGCCCTGCACCCCCAGAATACCTCAGTGTGTGTGTTCCCAAAGCGACAGCAGTTACGCCTCGCCCCGGGAACCACAGGCATGGAATGCACCGTCGCCCGAGTACTGTGGTCCGGTCTGCAGTTGATGTTCCAGGTCGTTAATTGGCACAGTTCCGTCCTTTGTGGCATTTTTTTCCCGTAGGAGCCTGACCCAGTCCACGATCTCACAGGGCATTTGGAAGTTAGAGATGTTAGACTTTAGCCCCCTTGGTCCCAACAGCTTCTTGCACTGCATTATTTTGTGGCTGACATTTTTGAAGAATCAGTCCTGTTATTTTATAGAATGTTCTTTAACTTGAATTTGCCTGAAGTTCACATCTTTTCTTTTCTTTCTTTCTTTCTTTATTTTTTTCTCTGATTGCTTTGGAATTTTTCTTTTTTTCTTTCCTTTTCTTTTTAAAATTGAGACATAACTGATGCTCAGTAAAAATTTACTCTTCTTGCAGTATGGTGCTGAGTTTTGTGCAGAATGGGGCTGTATAATCAGCAGCACATCCATGACAGCACAAAGAGCACCCTTCACGCCAACCCCCTCCCACCCTTTCCAGGCACCCCCTCCTGCTGCCTGTCAGGCTTCCACCTGTACAGATGTCTGATCATGGTCATTATTTTTTAGATCATTCTCTTTGCATTTCAAATCAGAAAGTCTGCTGTGTAGTCAGAACTTCGAGGAGGCAGAAATGAACCAGATTTGAGATGGGAAACCCAGCCGCCTCCAAGAAGGGTGAGGCGCATGGCACTGCCCCCAGGAAAGTCCAGTCCAAAAAAGCAGGCTTCCCGGTCGCAGCCCCAAGAAGCCCCAAGGGTCGAGCACAGGAGAGTTAGAAATAGGTAAAAAATAGGTATTGTGCTTGGGTCAACTGTTTTAAAGTTTGGTGGTAATCTAAGGAGGCCTGGAGAAGTAATTTTTTTATTCTGGTTTTTTAAAATAGGATCTCACTGTGTAGTCCAGACCAAACTTGAACTCACTGTGTATCGAAGGCTGACCTTAAACTCATGATCATCCTCCTGCCTCAGCTTTCCCTGTGCTGAGATCGCAGGCCTGTGCCACCACATCTCACTGGGAAGTAATTTTTTAATGGAATATATTTATGCCAAAAATTTACTAAAGCAAGAGAATGAGACTGAGCTAAGTATCCAAAGTAGTGAAGCCGCAGGGCTTTGTTCCTCACTGATGAGACCCAAGAGTGACAAATGGCAAGACCAAAGGGACCTACGTGTTTGTCGTATGGGGGTGAGGGACAAAGATCTATGAAGGCTTTTGCAACAGTTTAAAAAGAGAGAAGAGTTGAGGCATGAAGGAGTGAACTGTGCTGAGCGGTTGTTAAGTGTCCTGTAAGCCATTGTGCAGCCATTAGAAGTGACCTGCCTGGCCTTGTGTGCTGTACACGACTGTTACCCTAGCTCTCCGGGAGGCTGAGGCAGGAGGGTCACAAATTCAAGGCCAGCCTGCGCAACTTAATGACTTAGCGAGACCCTGTCAGAAAATACATACGTGCATACAGGTTCAGGGCTGGGGTGAAGCTCAGCATAAAGCCCCAGAGTCCATTCCCAGTGTTATGAAAACAAAAATATGAACTTTATCTCTGCTGTTTGGGGGGAATTTTTAAAAATAGCTTTGGAGTAAAAAGACATCATGACCTCACACATTCTCTCTCCTAGCCGAAGTCCTTCTCCTATTCAATTCCAAAGTCCTAGAAGTATTGTTCTGTAGGGCCATCCGTGTTTTAGCTCCAGCCCTTAATGTTAATCTTCCTAATATTCCGATTTGGTGGTAATATTCACACTTCTGAAATAATCTTGCTTTTCTGTAGGAAACAAATGCGTTTTATGGAAAGTTTCTCATGCTGTGGGCAAGTATGTCAGAAATGTACATGGGAGGAAGTGGGATGCAAAATTGCCCTTCAACTAGGTACTTCCCAACATTAGAAGTAGTTAGAGAAAGAAATAAAAAATAAAATAGAAGCCAGTTGTGGCAGCACACACCTGTCATCCCACCACTCAGGAGGCTGAGGCAGGAGGATCGCCGTGAGTTTGAGGCCAGGCCAGGCTATGTAGTGAGACCTCATCTCCAAAAAACAAACTGAAACAAACAAAAATAGAAATCGGCCTGGTGTGCATAGCCACCTGGTCTTGTGGTGCTGAGCTCTCACCTCGCCTCCCTCTCTGGCCCTCTAGGGAAAACCCAGCCCTCTTGGGGCAAGGCTCTGCTATCACAGGACTTTGAGCTGCTGTGCAGGGATGGCAGCCGCGCCAGCGTCACTGAGTGGCGGAGATGCCACCTGGCCCAGGTCCCCGCACGCGCCGTGATGGTCCGGGCTGACATGGATGGGAAACTCATCTTGCAACTGCTTGGCGAGGGCCAGGTGAGATGGGCGCCTGCTCCTTGGAGGGCGGGAGCTGGGGCAAAGACCAGGCCCAGAGACTGTGTGGGGACCCTGTGAGCTGGCAGGCAGGCCTGGGCCCCCAGGACCCCCTCCCCACCTCAGGCTCCTTGCCATTCTAAGCCCCTGAGGACCTAAACCAGAGCACAGGAGCACACAGAGCAGAGGGCACGTACAGCACATTTCCAGGCACTCCATGAACTCATGGTGCTGGCCACGGCTGTGACCGCCATCCACCCACAATCGCTGGCGTCCCGCCCCTGCCTGGCATTGTCTGTCACCAGGACCTGCCTGGCCTGGGCCACCGGACTGGGCCACATGTCCTGTGCCCATAGGGCAGAATGTGAGGAGCAGGTGGACTTCAAGGAGCCCCTCTAGGGAAGGCGCGGGAGGAGAGGGGCAGAGTGGCCTCACCTGGCCAGGACAGGTGGGAAGCGGCTCTGGTGACTGCACCCACACCAGCCGCCTTTGCCACCCTGCCATGCAGCTGCTGTTCAACCGGGAGGGAAGCACCTTCCAGATGTTCAGCTCGGAGAGCTACGGCCAAAAGGACCTGCTGTTCAAGGACACCACCTTGGAGCTGGTGCCCGTCAGCACGCAGACCTATGAGGCGTGGCTGGGCCAAGACTATCTGCGTGCTATGAACGGCCTGTTCTGTGACCCCAACAGTAAGTCCCTGGCCCTGCTCCTGCCCAGCCAGGGCTTTCTGCCGAGGTGACCTGGGGGGATGCCTCAGGGCCTCCCTTGGAACCTGTCACTTCCACTTCACCCTGGGCACTTGGGGAGGCAACGTCTCTGCCCGTGCCAGGTTTAGAAGTCCAAGCCTATAATCCTAGCGCCCAGGAGGCTGAGGCAGGAGGATTGCTGTGAGTTTTAGGCCACCCTGGGCTACACAGCGAGACTCTTGTCTCAAACTCCCTCCAAAAACACGGGCTTACTGTGTCCAGTCCCCTAGCCCCATAAATCCCCCTAGCCAAGGCCATGGGTAGTGGACACTGAGATAGCAACACTGATGCCTTGCACAGCCCCTAACCCTTTCTGAACCAAATGCCCAAGCAGAGCTACCCGACTTCCTGCGCTGGTGTGTGCTGTCCACGCCTGAGTTCCGCAAGTGTGGTGACATGGCGCTGGCCCTCAGCCAGCAGAAGCTCAGGCCGGAGATCCAGTGTGTGTGGGCCCACTCCCCACTGCAGTGCATGGAGCAGATTCAGGTGTGCCGGTGTGGCCAGAGGACGGGCAGTGCAGGGTGGTAGCATCTCCTGCCATGAGCCCAGATGGGGGGCACTGCAGGTCAGAAGCAAACATGTGGCCCCAGTAGGCCCTTCTGAGCCTGAGTTTCCCCATGTACGCAGCAGGGGTGGGCTCTCTTCCTTCAGAGGCTGAGTTTGGCTCTATTTTAAGGGGATACAGTCCATGGTCCCCTGGCTCCACGGCAGGAATAACGAGGCAGAAGGGCCTGGCGGGACAAAGCCACTTAACTCATGGTAGCCAAGAAGCAGGCCAAAGGGGGTGCCAGAGAAGAAGAGGCGGGGAGCAGACACTGACCCAAGCCCATGCCTCTGCGACCCTCCTGACACGTCCAGGCCCCAGTGGAGTCTGCAGGCCAATTAGGTTGACACTGCAGCCTGACCCCATGAGAGAGGGGCCCGGGGCTGAGGGCTCTTTAGTTCCTGACCCCTGGCAGCTGCCCAGGGCCCCTCGGGAGCTCTCAAGGCCTCTGGGACAATGTCTGGTGTCTATTTCCAAGCTGCCCCATAACCCAGAAATGGACCTTTGCCAGGCAGGGTCATGGCTGCAGTCCCCGCTCTGTGTCCATCCCAGAAGGAGGGAGGAGGACTGGAGTGGGGAGAGGAACCCAGAGATGCACCCTCGGGCTCAGGACTCCATGCCTCTGTCTGCTCCCCTAAGTCTCCTGCCCTAGGGCCCCGGCATGGGCACCTCCTGGGGCATCAGCTTTTCCAGGTTACCAGTTACCTTTGCAGGGCCCTGGGCCACCTGTCCAGAGGTGTCAGAAGGGACGAGTTAGGTGAGGTGACCTGAGGACTCCGGGGCCACCCTTTTTATATTTTAAGACACTGTCTCCCTAAAGACTGGACCATGACTTGCAACCCTCTGCCTCAGAAGCGGGGATCGCCAGTGCCACCCCAATGGCCAGCGGAAGTGTCCGTCTTGTGAGACCTGGGCCGTGACCCCCCTGCACACGCACCCGGCCAGCACGCACTGCACCCCGCCATGCGGCCCTCGGCCCAACAGCAGCTTAGGCTCTGCGGGCGGGCTGCGGGAGGCAGGCCTGGTGCCGTGCTGGGCCCAGAGCGGGGTCAGAGCCCCCCTGTCAGTGACCTGCGGCCCTCCAGGCTGGACCTCTCCACAGTGGAGGAAGGGACAGATGGGCAGGACAGGTGCCATCTCCCAGGGCCAATGCCTGCCACTGCCATCTGACCCCAGCATCCCGAAGCATCCTGGCCCCTGGCCCCTCCCTCTTCCCTCAGGCTGGACACATGGATGCTGTGACCCTGAGGGGTGAAGACATTTACAGGGCAGGGAAGATGTTTGGGTTGGTCCCAGCGGCCGGGGAATCCTATCCTGGTAAGTGCCACATCAGGGAAACTTGCCCTCTCTGCCATGTGCAGGCGCTCCACCCCTCCCAGTGCCTGTGCACCTGGGCAAGTTGCCTTTTGTCATCAGAAAAACTCCTATGCTTCAAGCCTCAGTTTTTCCATCTATGTAATGGATATCTCTAAAAAGAACAATCTCAATATTCTGGGACACTGAGGCAGGAGGATCCTCAATTTGAGGCCAACGGAAAACCTTGTGACTCAGAGAGAACCTGTTTCAAAATAAAAAATTAAGAAAGGGCTGGGAATACAGCTCAATGTGAAGACTCTCTTTCATTCCCACTACCAAAGATAAATAAACAAAACAAATGGCCAAGACTGTCTGTGGCCTGCAAAGCCTAAATGTTAACAAACCCTTTACTGAAAGTTTGTTCATCCTTTTGGTTCCCTGTTAATAAATATGTATAAAAGCCATTTTGCAACTAAGGCCACTGTCACATCTGGCTCCTGGTCAGGGAACCAAAGCTGTCACATGTGAGGGACAAGCACCCCTGCTCTGCTGTCTAACAACCCACCAGGATGGTAAACTCAGCCCCAGTAAAATATTAGAAGGACGAAGCCTAACAAAAAGGAGAGAGGATTTGCAAAGAGGCAAAGGAAGGGAGGACAGGGGAGGGCAGGTGCCTACCCAGTAAGACAGAGCAGTGTGGGCTCGGGCAGGATGGAGGAGCCGGGCCGTGGCTCCACCTGCTTTTCTAGGGGGTGAGGCGCGCGCGCGCGCACACACACACACACACACACACACACACACACACACCCGCCATCCCTGCACTGGCTCCCGGCGCCTCTGTCTAACGCGGCGTCTTCCGGCAGCTCCTCTCTGTCTACTTGCCCTTGACCTCCCGAGGCCTTGTCTCTGGGGGCAGCTACTTGGCAAGGGGGTGACTTACTAGACTTGGGGAGGAGCGGCTGTGTGTGCACGGGTAACGTGTGTACCCGTCAGTGCAGAGGTGTCAGCGTGACCTGCTGCAGTCACTCGGCCCCCGCTGGCCTTTTTTCTGTTGTATTGGAGGCGGGGCAGTTCATCCCCTAGGCACTTGACTTTCTCTCTGCGTCCTGTCTGTCAGCTCTCTTTCTGGCCTCCTGGGGCAAGTCCCAAGGCCATCCGGGTGCTTTCTTTTTTTTTTTTTTTTTTTTTTGGTCTTTTTTCCTTTTTATCGGTACCGGGGATCGAACTCACGACTGCCTGCTTGCAAGGCAGGTGCTTATGCCGCTGAGCTAAACCTCCAGTCCCCCGGGTGCTTTCTTTATGTGGGTTTTCCCTCCTTCTGTACCCCTGCCTTTGACGTTTTCCCAGGGGAATCTCTCTAGTTTATTTTTAACTCCTTCTAGTCAGGACCAGCTAGAAGACCCCAGGAGGCCCCCATTCTATTTTCTCATCTGCAGACCCCTCCCCGGGAAATGCCCCAGGCTGTCAGGGGATGAGAAGCCCAGGGCAGGGCTGTTGGTGGAACAAGGATTGAGGGTGACAGCGAAGCCGTGCAGGCCACTTCTTGGGCCCAGGGTACCTGCTGGCCTTGCCCTGAGCAGCCTGGGCCTCAGGTTAGGCCTCGGGGCAGAGAAGCAGGGGCGACAGACTGGAGGGACGGCCCCTGCCTGATGTCCCGTGCCCTCAGAGAACAGCAGCGACTCGCACTATGCGGTGGCCCTGGTGAATCGGGACAGCTCCTCCGCCTTCAGCCTGAACGAGCTGCGTGGCAAGCGCTCCTGCCACCCCGGTGTGAACAGCCTTGCCGGCTGGACCGTGCCCCTGGGCGCCCTCATCCACAGGGGCTCCATCCGGCCCCGGGACTGCAACGTGATCAAAGGTACCGTTCCTATGGGACGCGACCCGGCTCTCCTCAGCAACCCACCGAGTCTCTCCAATAGAAAACGTGTAACTCAGGAGGCAGTGAGTTCCCCATCACTCAGGGAGTTCCAGGGAGTGCCGGCAGAGGCTGGCAGGCGTCCCTCCCCGCTGGCTGTCCCTGCTCACAACCTGTCCCCTCTGCCAGGGGTGAGCGAGTTCTTCAATGGCAGCTGTGTGCCCGGGAGCGAGGCCAGGGGATTCCCATCCTCGCTGTGCGCAGTCTGCGCAGGAGATGCAAAGGGCTGGAACAAGTGTGTGGCCAACAGCCAGGAGAGGTACTTCGGTGACAGCGGGGCCTTCAGGTTCGCAGCGGCAGGCAGAGGTGGAGGGACCGGGGGTGGCCGCAGGCGGGACCTCCTCCAACACCTGCCGGCCCTCTCTCTGGTGGCAGGTGCTTGACAGAAAAGGCAGGGGATGTTGCCTTCGTGAAGCACACGACCATCTTTGACAACACGAACGGTACCTGAGGGGCTGGGGCCAGAGCACAGACTGATCTTGGGGCCCCTAACAGAATCTAGGCCTCAGGTGCTGCTGGGGTTGGGAGCCCAAGCAGCAGCGGGGAGAACTGAGTTTGGGGGACTCAGAACAAAGGTGAGGCTCACCCCAGACATAGGTCACAGGCGGGCTTTTCCCTAGAGTCACCCCAACACCCCAGATGGAGTCCTGAGCTCCCATCGGCTGCAGGGTCTCGGTGCTGGCTGCTCCCAGCTGGATCTGCTCCCCCAGCACCTCAGTAGGGTTTGAAATCCACATGCTGGGGCCTCAGTGGCCTCCACTCAGTCCAGCACCTCTCTCCCCAGAGCTTTACCCTCAGAGGGCACAGCTGTGGCCAGGAAGGGTGTTGGCACTGGTCAGAGGCAAGCAGGACATGCCACGGGAAGAATCGATCTTTCAGAACTCAGATCTTGGGAGACTTCTTCACTGAGGCCCCCGCTCCTGGCACTCAGCCCCCTTTATCTTTAGCTCTGCTCAGAGCCCACCTGGCACGCCTTCTGGAAACCAGGGGCGGATGCTGAGTAAATGCACCAAGGTATAGAAACAATGTGAATCCCCAGGGTGGTGTTGCTCAGGAAACCTGGGAACCAGCCACCTGCTTCAGCATTGCTGGGCTGCCAGCCTAAAGTACAGACTCCTGCACCCATCCTAGACCTGCACAGTGAGATTCTTGGCAAGCAGGGGCCCTTGGGATGCCCCTTGTACCTACAGATGTTGGCACCCCCTTTCCGGTTTGGGAAGCTCAGTGTGTAGGAGTGCAGTCAATCACCACCTCCCATGCCCAGGCCTGAGGGAATAACACACAGGCAAGATTCCTTGCCTGGAAAGGATTAGGAGCCTCAGTTACCACATCTGTAAAATGGGGCCAGCATTACTACAATGGCTGCAAAGCCCTAGTGCTCCCCGCTCCCTACTCCCCATTAATCTAAGCTCTCATTCTTTTTTGCCTACTTGGGGTGGCTCTGACAACAGAACAGAGCACTGGGTCTTCCCAGCCAAGGTTCTGGAGAACCCGTCCACATCCTCCCCACCCCACCCTGTCCCCAGGCTACACTTCGGAGCCCTGGGCAGCCAAGCTCAGGCAGCAAGACTACCAGCTGCTGTGCCTCAATGGGGCGCGTGCGGAGGTGCACCAGTTCCAAGCCTGCAGCCTGGCCAAGATCCCAGCCCGCGCCGTCATGGTGCGGCCAGACACCAACACCTTCACTGTGTATGGACTCCTGGACAAGGCCCAGGTGAGCCGGTGTCACTGAGGCAGGGGCGGCAGTGGTGAGCCAACCCTCAGTGGTGGGCCGGAAGCAGCCTCCAAGGAAACTGAGGTCCACACAGGGAGATTCCATGCTTCCCACCCGCCCGGTCCTCTCTCCGGGTCTGAGCCACCGTCTCCTGCATCACTGTTCCCTGCTCAGCACCTGCTCCCACCAGCAGGCAGATGTGCAGCTCTTTCCACGGCTATGAAAACAAACCAACTCTCGGTCACATGTCCTCTTGGCACCATAATCCCACTCCCTGTGGGAGGTCCCTCCGAAGCCTAGTAGTCTGTGCCCTGTTGCCCTCTCCTTGTGGTCAGCTCTCCCGTCAAGCCCTTGTCAAGGTCACAGCGACTCATGAAGCCAAACCATGGCTGTTTCTCAGTCCTCATGTTCCTGACCCCTGGGCAGCACTGACCGCAGCCCTCTCCTCCCAGAGTTCACATCCCTTCTGTGGCCCCAGGTGCCCATGCCTGCCTGGCTTCGCTCCCCTCAGTCTCCTTTCCCGGTCCCCTGGTCTTGCTAGCTGGGAAAACCCTTTTCTGTCTGCATCCACTGCCCTATTGACCTCCTCTGGCCTCGGGAGGCCATGTGAAATGCTGTCCACACACGGGCAGTTCCTGTGTGTCAGTCTCCACCGCTGGCCCACACCTGTCTGCACCCGGTCCACCATGCCTTGCTGGCTGCATATCCGATCACAGCAAGAATCCAAACCCAGGGTGTCTGAGGAGCCCCTGGTTTCCATGCGCTCCGGCAGACTCCTCCCACCAGCACTGCAGGTCTGCAGAGGCCCTGGCTATCTGGGCCTGGCCCTAAAGTCTGAAATCATCCTCCCCACAGAGTCCTTCTCTCCCAGCCTTTCTGTCCTCTGGGCCTGTGGACCCTAGGTCCTCTGAAACAACGTGGGAGGACCCCGTGTGGATGCGCCTTTCTCTGGGGAGAAGGCTAATAATTCTATGAGCTCTTCAAGAAGAGTAGCGTGTGAGCCCCTCCAAAAAGACCAGCGGCTCTCGGTTCTCCACTCAGCGAGGACCTGGTGGCTGACCCGCACTTATGCATTGTCTCCAGATGCCCTCCATTTACAGCGGTGCCCAGCGCGGCTCATCTCTCTTTAGGTCTTCCAAAGATTCCCAGCAGGGAACAGCAGGGCCTCCCTAGGAAGGGCTGAGAAATGCGGAGCTGGCCCAGCGAAGCACTCAGCCTCAAAGCTCCCTCTCCTTGCTGCGTCTGTCTGCCTATAAATTACACATTTCCATCCTGCACTGTGACTGGGTTTTGTGTCGTGTTCTGGAATGACTCTCTCAGGGCGGTGTCCCTGGACATCACTCTGCACACCCCTTGGATGATAGAGGCCCACAGTTGTTAAGCCTGACCAATCAGGCTCGATGCCCTGTGGTCACTTGGCTTTGGGTCTCCTGATCACCTCTAAGGCCCCATGAAAAGCGGGTGACTTGTGGTGCTTCCAGGAGCTGTTTGGAGACGACAACAATAAGAACGGGTTCCAGATGTTTGACTCCTACAAATACCGTGGCCAAGACCTGCTTTTCCGGGACGTTACGGTCCAGCTGGTGCCTGTGGTGGAGAAGACCACGTACATCGCATGGCTGGGGCCTGACTACATGAGAGCCATGGAGGGGATCCTGACACCACCGTGCTCGGGCTCAGGTAGGATGCAGGCTGCTGGCAGGCAGTGTGACAGCCTCAAGGAGGGCCCTCGGCACATCCGCCAGCACCTTTCAGAGTGCTTCACCCCAAAACCCCGAGGGAGCTGAAGGAAGCAGTTGGCCTCGGGAATGCAGAGCAGAGGCCTCTGTTGCACAGATAATCAAGATGCAGTGTCCAGGAAGGCTGTGATAGTTCCCACAGGGACACTGGCCATGCAGGGGGAGGGTCAGGGTAGCAGGGTAGAGTGTGGGCAGCAGCGGGGACCCAGGCAGCCCTGCCCCAAGCAGTGTTCTCCTCCCACCAGTCACTGTCCCCGGGGTTTCCTGGCTGCTCCTGCCGCCCCTCGCTGCTGGCCTCATCCTCCTGAACGCCCTCTGAGAGCAGCCCCGGCCAGTCACCTCCTGGGACTGCAGATGAGACCGGGAATAGCCCAGAGGATCCACGATGCAGAGGACTTCAGGGACCTCTCACAGCCCTGCATCCATCAAGATGAAGGCTAAAGCCATGTCCCCCACCTGAGCCCCCAGCTCTGGCCCACGGCCCAGTCACGCCGCCCAGCTGGCTCAGTGCCCAAACCTGCAGCCGCCCACCGGCAGCCTCCCAGGCTGGTTGCTGGGGAGACAGTGGGGGGGCCTCCCACGGGCCCCTCTGCTGTGCAGCACCCAGAAGGTTCGAGCACCACCAGCTGCAGGCCCCATATCCGCTGGCTCGCTGTCCTCAGGGCCCCAGGTCCCACCTCCCTCCTGAGCACACCGTGTCAGGGAAAGTGTCTACAAGCGAGGTGGCAGCCACGTCCCAGAGGGGCATAGTGACACCCTCAGCCCAATGGCAGCATCTGGCCAGAGGCGCCCTGTGAGGATGCAGCCCCGCAGGGGCCTGTGGAGGAAGGAGCTGCCGCCAAGGAAGAGGGTTCTAAGCCAGGGTGGGGACTGCGCCTCCTGCCTAACCTGAATGTGGGAGGCACAGGCCTCAGGGGAACTGAGCTGCACCCCTGCTCTCTGGGGCATAGTTCCCCGCCTGGGTTCAGCTGCAGATTATCTCCCACCACCACTCTCACCCCACGCACCCCACCGCCTCAGCCTACTCCTGGACACTGTCACCCCGAAGTCTTCAACTGACAAGAGCAGGAGGCAATGACCCAGGCCTCACCCTGAGGCCCCCTGGAAGGAGACCAGGTGCTGGGGTGAGGGCTGCCTCTTTCCCCAGCCCCCCACACCTCCTGTGTTCTGAGGAAGGGTCTCCCCACCCCAGCCTGGGGATAGCTGCAGCAGGGCCTCTCTCTGTCCATTTCACCATGGTTCTCTGAGGAGCCAGAAAAAGTTTTCTGGAACTGCCAGCTCTTATTCTGAATTTTGCACCCCTGAAAAAAACAAATAAGCAGCAGGAGCTTGAGGCCTCCTCAGCGCCAGCGTCAGCGGGCTGGGAACTGCGTGGGCCTGCAGCTATTTACATCCCAGTCCGTGGGGAGCCTCAGGGACACGGATGACGGACCAAGTCCCAGGTGGCTCGCCCCTACCTGTGGGCGCTCTCGAGGGGGCCCCCAGCAGTATTCCACCCACCACCACCAGGCCCTGAGAGTTCGGTCACAGTCACCCGGCAAGGGCAGCCCTCACCCACCCCCAGGGAGAGCGCTGGGCCTCCTAGGGTCCCGTCTGATGGATATGGACTCCTGTTAAGGAAGGCTGTGCTGAGGGTCATACCGATTGTTAGGTGATGCCGCTGCTGTCTGTGCTAATGAAGGACGGTGTTTGTTTCTGAAATAAAGATGAACAGCCCTGTGCACCAGAGGAAGCTCTCAGCTGCAGATTCCTTTTTCTCGGGTGCCCCAGGGCCTGCGCCACCCACATCAGCACCGTCCAGCGGGGTGGGCCCCAGCTCTTCACTGAGCTGCTTCCCTGACCCTCGCAGCACTCAGCATCGCTGGCTTTGCTCAGCTGCCTCTGCTCCCGCCCCAGCCTTCAGGTGCCCGCTTTGTGCTACCCCCGCCTCGTGACTCCAAAATCAGCTGCCCACACCACAGCTTTGGCAGCTGAGTGGCTGGAGTGGGGGAGGGCGCGCACGGAGCTCCAGGCCTCACCCTGGCCAGAGATGGACTCAGGGCCCTCCTTCACTCTCCCAAGCCTCCTACCTGGGGAGGCCCTGTACTGGTCCCTGCAGCCCTTTGTTACAGCTGGGTCTTGCTTGCCAGGGCACACAAGCCATCCGCCCCATCATCATGCAGCCAGGTAGCCTTAGGGATCCCGATGGCAAAAGCTAAGACCTCCTCTTTGCATTACTTGGCGCTGTTGAAGTCTCGGGAGCTTCCCACTCTGAACTTTTGGGGACAGACAGTGAGCCTTTGCTGGGAAGTCCTCCTGCCTCAGCCTGCTGAGCCCTAGAATTACAGGGTTGCACCCTAATGCCAGGCTGAGCTTTTAGAGTGACAAAAGACTGGAACCATCTGAATACCCCTCAATACTGAGAGGCAGATATAAAAGCTGGTCTATACCTTCATCTCAGTGGACAGTCTACAATCATTACAGCACCAGAGCTATATTTAGAGGTGGAAAAAGTCCACGACATATTGTTGAGTAAAAAGAGCAGGTTATAAAACAGCCTGTGGTCCCATTACCATAAAACCACTCTCTCTCTCACACACACATTCACACACTCACACACACACTCACACTTGGAGCTGTCTGGAAATCTGTTCACCAAACTGTTAGTCACTGGAAAGTAACTCTTTCCAGTTGGTGGGATTTAGGAATAATTTTTAGTTTCTTCAAACTTTAGTTTTGTTTCTTTAAAGTGTCTACTTAGAATTTTAAAGCACTTTAAATCATTAGCCATTTTTAATTGTGGAATGGATAAATAAACAAGGAAACCAACCAAAACTAAAGCACAGCCTGGGTGCAGTGCCGGGCCTCCTCCTGGTTCCTGGGTCAGCAGGCTATGCGGGGCGCCCAGGCTCGGAGCTCCTCTGTCCCAGATGTGGCCCTGCCAGCAGCCTCGTGACCTTTGAGGACTGTGACTTCAGGGCTTCTACTTCCTCCGAGAGCCCCTGCCTCATGAGCTGACTGGGGTCCGGTGCCCACCTGGTCCCGTGGCCCTGAAGACCACATATCTGTCCCTACAGCCCCTTCCTGTGGGAAGCCCTGTAATTGGCTGCCACCTTATATCTGCAGGCCGCACCACCTTAACTCCCTCTAGGAGTTAAGTTTGGTAGTTAAGCAGCATCTTGCCTACCTAGCTTGTTTGGCCTATTCAGGGATTATGCTTATGAGCCCACGTGCAGGAAATTTGAAAATTTGATTTAACCTATGACCCTCAGTCTTGCCACTGTTGCTAAGTTACCTGCTGATGTTGCAGAACCCAACTCCCTCCTCAATACCCTATATATTTAATACTCATTCCTTGAATAAACGAAACTTGATTGGACTTCATCTTGTCTCCGTTCTTTGTGTCTCTTGTTTCCTTTTCATCCCCACGCCCCTCTAGGGTCTCTGTGGCCGTGGACTTACCCACAGGCCGGGACACCTTCCTCTCCAACACAGCAATGGCCTGTGGTCCTGAGCCCGGCCTCCCGCAGGCTGTGGGCACAAGAGAAAGGGCATGAGGCCGTCCTGGTGCAAGTAGACTGACCGATGTCCAAGCTCCAGGTGCCGGCATCGTCAGCTCTGGCCTGGGGCCCCGGGCCGGGATCTGACGGATCAGGCGGGGACCCACAAGATCCTCCTCTCATAATGGGCTCTTCTACTCCACCTGACCCTGTCCTGGCTCATAGGCTGGTCTATACTTTCAGTGAATCAGCTGGCCCTGTCAGTCCACCCACTCCCAGGACTTGCTGCAGATGGGGACTTCCCCATCGCGGCTCCAGATTTGAACACAGAGTCCAGTTCCTCGAAGTGTAACAGGACACAGGGCTTGGTGACCAGGACGCTCTGGTACATCCCTTCGGCCAGTTCCATAGCTGCTTTGCATAACCGTGGGCCCCAGGCCAAAGTCCCACCCGACAGTCGGTTCCCAGGGTCCCTCCTGGCACTGTGCTGAGTTCATCCCCCAGGGACAGGAGACAGGGGATGCAGCTGTCATCCTGCAGAGGAGGCAGCCCGGCCTGCACCCACTTCAGCCCTCAGTGGCCTTGGGCAGGGCAGGACCCTCCACTGCCGCCGGCTCTCCTGGAAGCCTCTTCGGGGAGAGAATCTCCAAGGACAGGAACCCAACCCGCCTGCCAAGGCACCCCAGCACCTGGCTTCACCACCTGCAACACAACAAGGAGTCCGCAGGACTTTAGAATGAGTTCTAAGGAGCTTGGTCCTCCCTGGTGACTACAAGACTATGGGAAAGGGTACCAAATTGGGCGTGGTAGCTCACACCTCTAATCCTTACTCCAGGGGCCGAGGCAGGAGGATCACAAATTCTAGGCCAGCAGGAACAACTTAGCGGACCCTGTCTCAACATGAAAAGGGCCAGGGACACAGCTAAGGGCAAAGGCCCTGGGTTCAGTCTCCACTACCAGAAAAAGGAGGAGGAAAGGAGGGGGATGAGCTGGGTGTGGTGACTCACACCTGTGATCCCAGCTCTCAAGAGGCTGAGGCGGGAAGATTGCTGTGGGTTTGAAGCCAGCCTGAGCTACATAGTGAGACCCTGCCCACCCCACCTCACAAAAGGGAGGAGGAGGAAGATGGATGACTGTTGGCACCAGGCCAGGCCGGTGGCGTTTGGCTGAGCTCTCTCCGAGGGTCCTACAGTAGCTTGCCAAGGCTGCTGTAACACAGTCCTGCACCCCGCACAGCTGGACAGACAACAGTTCCTTCTTGAGGACTTGGGTGCGGAAATCCGAGAGCCAGGGACAGGAGGATTGACCCCGGCCCACAGAGCCAGCACTGCCACCTCTGCCTTTCTCCCCACCTGGGGATCTTCCTGGGTGCCTGGGCCTGGACACAGCTTCTCAGCTGCTCATATTGCAGCAGCCCCGCCCAGGCGGGCAGGGTCACCTCCTAAGATGTGGGGGTTCGAGCTCCCACCCGTGGGTCCCGGGGCTCCCACTGAGCCCATTACAGCTCGTGACTGCCCTGATGCCTCCCCTACAAGAACCCAAACACCAAGCAGACAGTGACAAGGTGCCGGGACGGTGTCAGGTGAGAGCGCACCCAGAGAAAGCCTGGACCCAGCCCAGATGTGCTCACTTCCCACTCCGTTCTGCAGCTACAGACAGCTGTGGCCCAGCTGCGCTGCCCCAAGCCCTCCCTGCTGCCGGCTGGACCACCTGGTGGGGAGAGGTCACTGTCCTCTCTGTCCCTGCGGTCCCCCTGGGTCCCCTCTGCAGCTCCAGTTTTCAGCATCACCAGCTGCTGGCTCCCAGAGCCCCGCCGGCACCTCCCCTGCTGGGAAGACAGCTGAGGCACACAGCACCTCCCAAAGACAACTGTGGCCCTTGCTCCCCTCACTCCTGGCACCCCAGGATGCTCAGAACCACCGGCTTCTGCAGGACTGGGAAGAGGGTGGTGCTCAGCGTGGAGGACCAGCAGGCCTTTGAATGCTGGCCCAGCAGACCCCAACACATGATGGTGGCATATCTCCCTAGCCCACACAGAGAGGCCAGCAGCCGCCCAAGGGTGGCTGGGTCACCTGTTGCAGCCTCCAAGCCCCCTGGGACAAAGTCCCTGTGCCATTAGCTTATCTGTGCCCCTGCCTTCCCAGGGGCCCATCAGCCCCCAGGGCCCTCGGCGCTGATAAGGGAGCACCAGCAGACAGAGCTGCTCTTGGAGAAGGCAGAATTCTGCCCTCTGCTCTTCCTGCGCTGCTGCCCAAGCTCTGATTTGGTGTGAAGTCCCCTCCCCGTCTTGCTGGGTTCTGAGAGCCAGAGCCCTTCTGCCCACAGAGCTGCCCTGCTCAGCCTCCTGCCCACCTGTACGTCTGCCTGTCCCGCTGTGCGGGTCCTCTCCTCTGTTTTGCTGCAGGAAGGGTCTGGAGGAAGTCGGACTGTGCCCAGTTCTGCTGGGGCACACATGACCATCACATACAGGTGGCTTTTTGCCCACCACTCACACGGTGGTGGTGTCTTTATTGAAAGGACAGTAGAGCCCCTTAAACCAGACTACGCTCTGTCCCGAGCCCGCACACAGACACACACAGCCAGCCTCCTACCTTCCCACTGCAGTCCCCATCTCTCCCAGTGACCACGCTGATCACCAGGCAGCAATGGTTCTGGTGTCTGTGCCACAGTGTCCCCTTACGCAGGGCTCCTTGGGTTTCCTGTGGTGAGGGGCACATCACAGAACTTGTCTTTGTGAATGAGAGTTCTCCAGCACAGAGATGCGGATCTTACGCAGCCGTCCCCACTACCATCTCCAGAACTCTCCTACTCCCCCAGACCCTTGCAGCTTTCTGTCCCAAGGATTCATGGAACACAGTGCTGGCCTTTTGTGCCAGGCTTATCTCACTTAGCATCATACCCTCAAGGTTCGTGCACGTTAGGACAGGTTCAGACAAGTCAGAACTCCCTTGCTTTTTAAGGCTGAGTAATATTCCCACTGGAGGAATCCACCATGCCTGTTCATCCATGCATCCATCCATGCACAGCCAGCTTGCTGGCACCTCTGAACACTGCTATTTAACAAATAGGCCTGAGTCTCTGTGTTGAGTATTGTAGAGGATAGAAGCAGAATTGCTAGAGCCAGAGGTAATTCTGGGGTTTTTGTTTTGTTTTGGTACCAGGGATTGAACTTGCAATGTTGCACTTGTCAGACAGGCGCTTATGCCGCTGAGCTAAACCCTCAGTGCAGTAATCCTGGTTTTTGAGAAACCACTTGTGATTTCCTAGCAGTTGTACCATTTTACACAGACACCAACAGCACAAGAGAGTTCCGATTCCTCACATCCTCAACACTTACTATTTGTCTGTTTAGGGGGGCTGGAGATGGGGCTCAGGGCCTGGTGCTGGCGGGCAGATGCACTGCCCCCCAAGCCGTGTGCTCCCAGCCTGGATCTTCCTGTCCACAGAGGCGGCTCCTCGCTGCGCCACAGTGGGCGGCCGGTTGTGTGGTTCTGGCTACCTGTGTGTCTGTCTTCTTGAACAGTGCGGCCCAGGCCCTGGCCGACTTCATAGCTTTGAAGTCCTCATCCAGATGCCCACACACGGTCACCTGGGCCATGTCTGTGAGATCCCGGAGGCCTCCGGCAGATGTCCCTGTGGGAGGTGGGGCTCAGAGAGAGAAGCTTCCCTGGCCTCAGGACCACCTGAGACGGTGGCTGTGACTACTGGGATCTTTTTTAGTGGGGGAGCAAGGTTGGTCTTAGAGTTTTTTGTCCTGTTTTCTGAGACAAGGTCTCGCTAGCAGTTTAGACTGACCTTGTACTCACTGTGTAGCTCAGGCTGACCTTGAACTTATGGCAATCCTCCTGTCCCCGCACCCTGAGTCCTGGGCACACTCAGCTCAAGCCTGGATCTTGAGAGACCAAGAAACCCAAACTGAACTTCTTGTTGAAATCAGCCTCCATATGGCTCCCAAGGCAGAGAGACGCTGGGGGTTTTTCAGTCTCATTTTGAGACAGGGACTCACTATGTAGCTCAGGCTGGCCTTAAACTTGCTGAGATCCTCCTGCCTCAGCCTCCTGAGTGCCAAGATTCCAGGCAAAAGCCACCATGCCTGGCTGAAATGCTGGTTTTGTGGGGGCCTCCCTTTGCCTGGGGGACCACTGTCCCACCAGGAGCAGATCTTGACATGCCTGTCATCAGAGCTATCCTTGGGCCCCAGAGGACTTGCAGTTCTCCAGGGAGACTTTGCTGTCCGCAGGGCACATGACATACATCCACCCTTCTGCTGATGGGAAAGATTATAATCACGATTGAGACCGGAAGGCAGGTGCACAGGCTCAGTTTATTATGGGCCTCAGCTCCATTCATCAGCGCAGCCGACGAGGCCCTCTCGGGTCATTCCTCCACCCCTTCTCCCGCCCCGCTCACCCTTGCCGTGGGCATCCGTGCTACGGCGTCTGGTGTCAGCCCCAGAGCAGCGCCTGTGCCGACCATCTCAGGCTCTGTCACTCTTGTCTTCACTTGGCTCTGTGTTCTAAAGCTGATTCCCACCCTAGCACGAGTTCGCAGTTCCTGAACATCTCCATCCTGGCTTTCCCAGCTGAAAATGCATCCTCCCTCTTCGGGTTATTAACTGAAGTCAGGTGCAGTGGCACACACCTGTGACCCCTGCCCTCTGGGAGGCCGAGGCAGGAGCATCCGAAGCCCAAGCCCAGCCTGGGCACCTTAGTGACTTAGCAAGAGCTTGTTTCAGAAGGTAGCTCAGGGTGAAGGCCTTGGGTTCAGTCCCCAAGAGAGAAATGGAGGAAAGGAAGAAGGCAGAGGGAGGAAAAGAGAGAGGGACGATTAACTGAATGAATTCAGCTGTATTGCTTTGTTTTGCTTCCTTTTTCTATTT